CACACAGGGGAGAAACCGTATAAATGCATGGAGTGTGGAAAGAGCTTCACGAGGAATGATAAACTAATTGCCCATGTTAGAATTCACACAGGGGAGAAACCACATAAATGTATGGAGTGTGGAAAGAGCTTCCTAAGGAGCACAGAACTTACTTCCCATAAAAGGATCCACACAGGAGAGAAACCATATAAATGCACAGAGTGTGGAAAGAGCTACAGTCACTCTAGTAGTCTGAGTGCCCATAAAACTATCCACACAGGGGAGAAACCACATAAATGCATGGAGTGCGGAAAGAGCTTCATAAGGAGCACAGATCTTACTTCTCATAAAAGGATCCATACAGGAGAGAAACCACATCAATGTATGGAGTGCAAAAGGAGCTTTAGTCGCTACAATACCCTTATCTCCCATAAAACCATCCATACAGGGGAAAAATCATATACATGCATGGATTGTGGAAAGAGCTTCAGGACAAACAGTTCTCTAACTTCCCACAAAAGGATCCACACAGGGGAGAAGCCATATAAATGCATAGAGTGTAGAAGAAGCTTCCGGACAAGTAGTTACCTTACTTCCCATAAAAGAATTCACACAGGGGAAAAACCCTATCAGTGCATGGATTGTGGAAAAAGCTTCAATCTCTCCAGCACCTTTGCTTTCCATAAAAGGATCCATACAGGGGAGAAACCCTATCAATGCATGGACTGTGGAAAGAGCTTCAGTCACCCCGGTACCCTTACTTCCCACAAAAGGGTTCACACAGGAGAGAAACCCTATCAATGCATGGACTGTGGAAAGAGCTTCAGTCATCTCAGCACCCTTACTTCCCACAAAAGGATCCACACAGGAGAGAAACCCTATCAATGCATAGAGTGTGGAAAGAGCTTCAGTCACTCCAGCAACCTTGCTTCCCATAAAAGGATCCACACGGGAATGAAAATATAAATCCCTAGCATGTGGAAAGGGTTTTACTTCTCAACTTACTTCCCATAAAAAAAATCCACAGTGAGGATTAAGTGTATAAATGCATAAAATGTGGTAAGAGCTTTCATTTTTGGGATCTGATCACCCATGAAGGATGACACATGGAAAATTAACCCGATTGCTTCACTGAGAACGTTCACCTTAATTGACTTCAAAAGGAGGTATCTGTGTATATCCCAAATTTGCTACTAATTTTTCTTGTCTGAGATCACACCAGGCCTTTGAGGGTGAGCAGTATCCTACCTTTCAAACACTGGTTGTGTTCAGGAGGAAATCTAAATTTGATTTTCAAGCAATATGAAGATCAACATGTTAAGTATACATTATACATATGCTCCTTTGTAATTTAGTGATTATTCTTGTCATGTTAAATGTTATTGGCTGATGATCAACCTTACAAGGGGCTTTGGGAGCCATACCCGAATTTTCCAAGGGCCCTTGTGACCCTTTGGTCTGTGGTTGTGCAGAATTTACTCTGGGCTCTCAGATGATAGGGTTGACCCTGCTTTTATTTGCAGCTTCCCCCCAAGCAAAGTGTAAAGTGCTAGAGAAAGAAAAAGTTTTTTTTCCTTTTTTTATATGTGATTTTATTAAAGATTTTTAAAAAGAAAAAACTAATACAAACTTATATAAAGTTAGAAAAAAAAGGAAGAGAAAGAAAAGAGAAAGCTAAAAATGTATGAAAGTAGAAAAGAAGAAAGATACAAAGACGTAGCTTCCAATTTTATTTACAGCAGCTACAAGTACGATTATAAGTTTGCCTCTTACTCTATGGTTACAACATACCTCTCTTCTTTCTATAATCCATTCTATGTAATCATCAAAACCATAAATCATAAGTTCATTTTTTTTCTGTTCCACGCAGAAAGTCTTTAAGGGGTTTCCAGTCAACAATAAATGTAGATACTGTATTTTCTGATCAAAGAAGTCAATTTGGCCATCTCACTTTCACCAACCATTCCTCCATCTTTCCATCTTTGTGCATAGAATAATCTCACTGCAGTTATCAGGTACAAAAACAAAGATTTATGACTTTTTTCCAACTGTTTGGCGATCAGTCCCAAAAGATAAACCTCTGGTTCCAGTTGTATTTTAATCTTTAAAATCTTCTGTATCAGTGTATGTATTTGGATCCAGAATTTTCTAGTATTTTTACATGTCCAGCAAACATGATAGAATGTCCCCCCTTGTTCACATTTCCAACATAAATTGGAAGTGCTTTTAGACATTCTAGACAATTTCTGTGGTGACATATACCAACAGTACATCACATAAAATTTTTCTTTAACATTATAATGTAAATTTCAGTCCTTTTAACTACATATTTTCCCATTGTTCCATCTGTATATTGTAATCAAAATATTTAGCCCACTTTATCATACATTCTTTAACTTGTTCTTCCATTTCAAATTTCAATAAAAATTTATACATTTTAGCAATTACATGTTCGTCATTTGTACAGAATTCTATTTCAAACTCAGTCTTAGAATCTTCAAACCCATAAATTCTTTTGTCTACTTTAAATCTTTCTATTAATTGTACATTTTTCTCAGTATTTCATAAAATTAGTTTTAGGAAGAATGATTTCCATTAGTCTTGCAAATTGCTTGTACTTAAAGCCAAATGATCTGTTCTTTAAATAAAAGTGGTCAGCCCACAAATTTACCTAAAAAGTATAGAAGAATTTAAAATGTCCAAAGACCCTGCTTAGCCAATTTGTTTATGTAGGTTAAAGGTAGGAAAGATGAGAACATTTGTTGAATGTTCAAAATGTTGTCTTTCTAGACCTGTTGATGATAATATGTTTAGGAGGAGAATTCATAGAAATGAATGGGGTATGGAAAAACTTTCCAATGCTGCAGTGACTTTATTCCATACAAAGCAAACTATTTAGAAATAAGGCATGGAAAAAGGCAGACTTCAAATCTATTATAAGGTCAAGGCCCAAAAATGCATGGAATGAAGGAAAAGCTGCAGCAATAGTAGAATTCCTTAATATGCATGAAATCTCAAGGCCTTTGTAATCTCGGAGCCAGATTTCTGCAGTATAATCCATATGCAATTGAAGATGGTCTGCAAAGTGCTATTGGCACAGAAGATGGTTGCCTGATTATTAAATTGATTGACTGATTATGTATCAAGTCAGTGTTGACTCTTAAGGACCACATAGATTTTTTTCCATGATGGTCTGTCCCTAACCTGATCTTTCAGATCTTCCCTGATTTTCAAATGGGACCACCTAATAATGATCCTGAGGCCACCAGAATTAAGTTATAGATATTCATCTAAAAAGACCTACCTGGCCTAAATGCTAGAAAAGATGGTTTTGCTCAATATCATTCCAAATCTGCAGGAAGATCAGGTTGGTTGGACTCCTGCAGTGGCCAAGGCCAAGGCTGCTTATTTTTAGATAATAGAGCAGCATATTTTTAGATAATAAAGATATGCCTATTTGCTCAGACATTTGTAGAAGAACAAGCTGCCCCAGGACTGGCCTCTCTCATTTTTCTTCTTCGGCAAGAGTCCTGACTTAAATTTTATACTGAGCCTTTTTGAGGAACATTGGTTCTGTTGTGATAATGCTGTTTCAGATGGCCTGCTTTTTTATTTTTTTCTTTGGTTAACAGTATCAATAAATGAATGACATCCTTGAATCATTAGTTTCAAACTGATCTTGGTAGGTTAGAGAAATAGGCCAAAAATAACAGAATGAGACCATGCAAAGTTCTTCACTTAGGAAAAGGAAACCAAATATAGAGATATAAAATTGGAATATCTGGTTTAGCAATAGTAATTCTGAACCAAAGTATGAAACACAGGCAAAGTGAACAGTGATTATGAATGTGTGATGGAGTTAAAAAGGGAAATTGTGATGAAATGGAATTATGTAGGTCGAGCTCAGGGAGACAAGCATTTTCTTAGGTCGCCAGAACCGCGTGGGAGGATCAAGAGGATGAGACTGGCACCTCCCTGAGGAATTCACA